GCGGCCTCACCAGTGCCGAGTACAGGGGCACTATCACCTCCCTGGTCCTGCTGGCCACACTATTCCTGATACAAGCCAGAATGCCATTGGCCCTCTTGGCCACCTGAGCACACTGCTGGCTCATGTTCAGGCGGCTGTCAACCAACACCCCCAGGTCCTTTTTCGCCAGGCAGCTCTCCAGCCACTCCTCCCCAAGCCTGTAGCGTTGCCTGGGGTTGTTGTGACCCAAGTGCAGGAGCCGGCACCAAGCCTTGTTGAATCTCATACAGTTGGCCCCAGCCCAATGATCCAGCCTGTCCAGGTCCCTCTGTACGGCCTTCCTGCCCTCCAGCAGATCGACACTTCCACCCAATTACAGCGCACACTTCCGTGCATCTCTATTACAAATGTTTTGCAGGGCATGGCAAGCCTTACAAAGAGAAGAGAGCACTGAAATTCAGGGGCTTCTGCCATTAACCAGTTTCACCAACAAGCTTAGAGTTTTGCTCACAGGTTTTGATACCCTGTCCCTTCCTTTTATCGTTATGGTCATAGTACCTAATCAACCAGCCATCTCAGAAAACAGAATATAATAAAAACAAGTGTAGCAGTTATCTGGTAGACAAATTAGAAGCTTATTAAACAAAAACATTACGTTATGTCCAGAGATAAGGCTGAAGTCTTTGAAAAGCCCTGTCAGACACAGCTATACCATTCGACATACATAAAGAAAAGTTTTTGATGGACATCTGATAATTGCAAATTTCTCCCTTCCCCTCATACATGAATGTTACATTTTTTAAATGAGCCATTCTCTGTTGCAAAACTAATTAAAATTTAACTGCATATAATTTGGACTTCAAAAGAACAACAAAAAAAAAGGTTATAAAGGAAGGGGGAGAAATCTAGACACCTAAAAGATGCAGCTTCCCTACTTCTGGTATTTGCATGACAGTTTTCAAAGCTGAATCATGAAGACAAAGAGGAAAAAAGGACCAAATCATCACACCCATAATCTATATGGATCCAAAAACAAGACATCAGCTGGCAATACTGTCAGGAAAGAGATGCTGATGAAAAGTGGGTCAGAAAGACTGGGATGTTCTATGCTGACCAGAGATAGCTGCAGGCGGTTCAAAGCAGCTGTGATTTGCAGCCCCCAGAGGCACTCTTTCTTTAATTAAAGATAG